AAAAAAAAAAAAAAAAAAAAAAAAAGAGGACTCGGGTTGTTTTCCCCCTTCTTGTGATTACCTAATTGTGGAGGTCGCCCTTTGGGGTTATCCCAAAAAAAAGGGGGCAACGTACCAAACAGGTAGGCAGTTAAATGTGATTGGAAGAAAGTTTACCCCCCCACAGAGATGCTCGGTTTTACATATTTTTGCCACTCTTCAATTTGGATTATTACTCCATTTCGCGTTTTCATCATTCGTGGCCAATATGGGGGTATGCACACGTTTTTTTGCTTTCAGCTTTTTTCAGCACTTTTTTTTTAAATATTTTTCTGACTGTTTGTTTTTTGCTTTTCTGCCTCTCGTGATTGTTCGCGTTTGTTATTCGACATATGTGCACTTTGGGGAGGTGGTCGTTTTCCCACGTCGAGTATATCCCATGCGGGCACATCATTCCGAATGGCAAAGGGGGAAGTGGCACCAACTGTGAGGCGGGTGAGGAATTAGAAACGGCACGGATTGGCAAACGAGTCCTCTGCGGTGTGTTAACATATTTTAAACACATATTTTTAGTGCCTTTTTTTTTTTTTCTTTTTTTTTTTTTGGCATACATTTTTGCACTGAAAAGTTGGAGAGAAGACTGAAGTGGGGGAAGCATTTTTATATATTTTTTTTGTTTTTCCCCACCTTGACGACAAATTTTTGTGGTCCCCAAGGTATAGGAGGTATACACCCCACGCCATAAGATGATATGACTCGGGGGATATTGCACATATGAAAGTGCTCTTGTTCACAGGGTGAAAATTGTTGCGTAGATTCCCCCACCTGTGTAGCTATTTCCGCGTTGATAAAATGTTGTTAAGTAAAATGTGATCGAGTCCTCTGTCCCAAATTTGTCAGTACAAGTTAGCCAAAAAAACAAAAAAAAAAAATTCCCCCATTTTGCCTGCACATTTTGCGTGCACATATTATGCAACTGTATTTTTTTGTGCATGTTAATCTAGGACGAATATCCCCCTTGGGAAGAATCAACAAGGAATATAAAAAAAAAAAAAAAACGTTGTGTATGAATTGTGAAGGGGGCGCTGTGGAGGAAATGCTTCCCGGAGACGCGCTAGCAGAGTGGTATCTGAGGGAGAAGCGAAGTCACGGCGCTACAACGCTTCACACTCCCATTTGTATGCGCATCGGCCCAAGGGGAAGGGTAGCCACTTCGCACTAGTTACACCACTTCACACTGGGAGTTGTACGCCTCTCCAGAGTTACCACTTTGTCATGGTGGGGAGATTGACCCGTTTGGCGGCACTGCTCGTGGTGCTGACCCTGCAATGCCTGCGCATAGGAGCGATAGAAGTTTACATCAGCGTGCGGCCAAACAAAATCAAATGCTTAAAGGAGCGAATTAACAAAGACACCCTTGTTGTGGGGAAATTCAAAACAGAAAACAAAAGTGTACCCATCTCCATATTTATATACGACACAGACATACATGAAAGAACTTTTAACTTCCAGAAGAGATTGCCTATATTTGAAACCATTAATGAGTACGACATAAAGACGGCCTTCACAACCTTCCATGTTAATCTAGGACGAATATCCCCCTTGGGAAGAATCAACAAGGAATATAAAAAAAAAAAAAAAACGTTGTGTATGAATTGTGAAGGGGGCGCTGTGGAGGAAATGCTTCCCGGAGACGCGCTAGCAGAGTGGTATCTGAGGGAGAAGCGAAGTCACGGCGCTACAACGCTTCACACTCCCATTTGTATGCGCATCGGCCCAAGGGGAAGGGTAGCCACTTCGCACTAGTTACACCACTTCACACTGGGAGTTGTACGCCTCTCCAGAGTTACCACTTTGTCATGGTGGGGAGATTGACCCGTTTGGCGGCACTGCTCGTGGTGCTGACCCTGCAATGCCTGCGCATAGGAGCGATAGAAGTTTACATCAGCGTGCGGCCAAACAAAATCAAATGCTTAAAGGAGCGAATTAACAAAGACACCCTTGTTGTGGGGAAATTCAAAACAGAAAACAAAAGTGTACCCATCTCCATATTTATATACGACACAGACATACATGAAAGAACTTTTAACTTCCAGAAGAGATTGCCTATATTTGAAACCATTAATGAGTACGACATAAAGACGGCCTTCACAACCTTCTACTCTACCTCCTACTCCTTCTGTGCATATAACAGTTCGAATAAAGTGTTGGATGTACTGTTTGAAATAAAGCACGGGACGGAAGCAAGGGACTATGCGCAAATAGCAAAAACGGAACACCTGAATGAAGCTACCATATACTTAAAGCAAATCGTTGACCAAATGACTAGCTTCCACTTGAATTTAAAACGAATTAAAGCTTCAGAGGAGAATGAAAAGAAGGCCAGTGACAAACTCAATGACACCCTCATGTGGTTCTCTCTCATGAACATTTTAATTATTATCGTTGCGGCCATCATCCAGGATTTCTACTTTAAGCGGTTTTTCACGTCCAAGAAGATTATCTGACAGGGGTGTAGCACTGGAGTAGACACGGGTAGCGACGCGCAGCGATGCACCCCCCTACGCCATCCTCGAATTCGTTGGACCCAGTTTTTACACCGCCTTACATGCAGAGGAGACCCCCTGCGGAGCCAAATGGCGAGCACAATGGGAGAATTTGCCCCCCATTTTTGTGCCCATTTGCCGCGTCGCTTTTCTGCGTCGCTTTTACGAGGATGGCGCGATTGTGAACCGCCCTACCTGGAGATTGCCTCTTTTTTTTTTTTTTAAGTCATTAAAACGTTAAAAAAAGTAATTTTTGAAGAACCCCTCACACGAGGGCAAATAAGCTATAGTGCGTGACAAAAAAAAAAAAAAAAAGCATGAAAATACAACAGCGGAGGAGCGTTTCAGGGGAAATTTTATTTTTACCTCCTGCAGTTGCTATCCATTTGCGGAAAGTAACCTCAATGCTGGTGCACATTGACCTGCACGTCGGGCAGGCTGACTTCCCTTCCCGCACTATCAGTAGCGAAGATATGCAGCACGTAGGTACTCGCCACTGCATCTGCACCTGCACTTGCACCTTCCTTGAACAGCTCCTGCAAAATAACGGAGAGTTTCTTCCTTCCAGAGTGTCTAAATGAGGGCAACTGAAATTTTGTGTAAATAATTTTGTCCCTCACCCCAATTGTCTGAATGGACACACTGAAGAGAACCTCAAGACAAGTCACCAGTTCTTCCAACGTGACGTCTTCTCTGGTTTCTTTGCTCCTCATCTTTATAAATGCTTTTGCTTCGCTGCTCATTTTCTCCGTATTTTTTTTCACTTTTTTTAAAGTGTTCACTAAATCGGCTAGTGTTTTTTCCACCTCCGCCTTGGACGACTCTCCTCCTGCGTTTCTGCTCTGGTCCATCAGTAGCTGCACGTTCTTTTTTATGTCGCGAATGTGTACATGTGTCTGGTGAAGAGACGCTTCGTCTTCGGATGCGGTGCCCACGGTGTGGAGGTCCTCCAGGATGGAGTCTGCCAATTTGGTTACCTCTTTCACGCCGTCATCCAGGCTAACATTGTTCGCCCCCTTAGCAGCATCGTCATTTGCGCCGCTCAACACGCCGCGGATCGCCGCAGAAGGCACTTTCTGCGCCATCTTCCGCAACGCCCTACTAGCCTCGGCCAGCTGCCCCTCCACGTGCTGCTCCCCACTTCGGTAGTAGAACGGACCAACGGGCAGTCCGCAGTCCCCCACGGTGCACCCTCCACTGCCCTTCCTCCTTCCCCCTCTAGGATAAATATTAACATAGAGATAGTTCCAAACGGAAAATTGAAATTTCCTCATCAATTCTGACGGGGCGTTTTCATACGACAAAGGAGGACACACACTAGTGAGCTGAGAATGGGTAAAAAAATTATCTTCCAGGTTCACATAATTGTTGTTAACTGCGCTTGACAGGATTTGAAGCTCATCGTAAGGCACGTTAAAAAAAGAGAGCAACGCTTTTCCGTTTTTCCTAATGTAGACCTTCCTTCCGTATGTGTAAATGGTTAGGTCCTTGAGTTTTTCTTCACGAAATTGAGTTAGATCCTCGGGGGGGGCTCCCTCAGGCATTAGCGGCTGGCTGGTTAGGTGGCCTCCTCCCCCTACCATTTGGTTCCTTCCCATTAGGGCTTTGCTCCCACGCGAATGCATCAAATGGGCCAGCTTGTACAACTCGAGGGACGCCAGAGCTGAAATGGCTGAAACGACAGTGACGATCGACGGCACGATGTTGTTACACACTTTAAAAAACTCCAGCATGGGAAGCTGCGGGAAATTGTAATTTTCGTTTCGTACATTGGTTAGGCTGAACACAAAGTTGATGTCGTCCTTGTCGTCCTGCAGGTTACAAATCAGGGGCGTGAGCAGCGAGACTTCTTTGCGGCCGCTGGGGGGGGCATCCGCCTGCCCCACTGCTGCTTCTGTTCCCGCTTCGCCCCTCTGCTGCTGCACCCACCGTAGAGCTAAAAGCAACACGGGGTTGTTGAACACACCGAAGAGCTCCTTCTCTATGGAGGCATAGAACTGCTGATCGCTATTCCTGCGGATGATGGAGAGAAAATACAGCAGCCGCTTCACATCCACGCGCAAATTATTCTTCGAAACAATTTCTCCTATTGCGTCCTCAAAGGAGGGGCATTTGGAGCCTCCCACTTCCTCATCCTTAAAAAAGAAGACACCTCTATGCTGACTTTTCTCGCTAGCCAAAACGTCTGTCAAATTTTTTAAAACTTTTTTAAAATTTTTCAACGCACACTGGTAGAAAAGCAAGTGATTTTTATTTTCCCGATGGAACGAAACCGGCTTTGGCAACTTCTGAACTTCTTCAAAGTACTTGTGCAATTCTGCTTCGTTGTTTTTGAGCAAGTGAGTAATATTTTTCACAAAGGTGTTTTCCCAAAGCAGCTGTACATTTTTGTGGACCTTTGGATTGAAATACATTTTTGTTAATTTAAAAAAGTGAAGCAAATTGCTCACGTTGTCGTAGGTGCATATATGCCCAATAAAAGAAACAGGGTCATTTAAAAATTTATTCATTTTGATCACATTATCGGTAAAATAATGATTGTAAACGCTTCTTGCAAATTGAATTACATGCTTAGGGTTTTTAGGGAAAGATGTAATCGTGCACGAGTTATTTGCCTCCTGGTCGACTTCCCCCTCGATCGAGTTACTCGTATAAGTCTCACTTGAGAAGGGGATAACTATTTGGCTACTTCCCTTCAGACCCTCTATGCCTGCTTCGACCACTGGAATGGAGTTCATCACACAGAATGTGTCGCACACTGCTCTGCTTTGGAAATTGTCCAAACAGAGGATGCACACAATGGGGGAGGTGCTTCTTCTGTTAGGCGATCTTTGTTTTATTTTTTCCTTCCCATTAGTTCCTTCCATGCAAGTAATACTATTTATGTGTGTCCCCTTTTGGTCATTACTCATCGAGTTAGAAAACAACCAATTCAGAAGCAAGCCTCGGTTCCCCAAGATGGACTCATCCACCTTCATTTTCACAAAACCACAGTTCACATTTGGGTCTAACTTCTTAACATTCTCTGCAGCCACTTGGCACTTCAACTTTCCCACGTCTTTTGCACTGAACAGAAACTGCCTAGACAAGTTGGATTCTTCAATCAGGTCGTAATCGACCACTTGGATACGCCCCCCAGGGGATATGTCCCTACGCGAGGAAACCCCCATCAGTGCCAGCAGCTTCAAAAACTCACACCCCAAGGCACCTGACCCGATAAGCAAAACATTCAGGTCGTTCAGAAATTTCTGAAATTGGGGCCCAAAAAAATTCAACTGATGCATGTGCCTTCCGTGATACTTGTGAGTAATTTTGGAAAAGGGAAATAAATCTCTCTTATCGAAAAAAAAGGTCTGGTAAATCGGTTTGAACTTGCCCGTTACACCTTTTAAAATTTCTTGCGTTACCAAAGATCCAAAAAATGCAGAAAATGGCGACAATTCGATGTGTGCAGCTGAACAAAATTGATTTACTACCTGAACGTTCATATTTTTTTTTTTTTTTTTACACCAGTTTTGAAACGCTTGAATATCCTCTGGGGTGAATATTTTCTCCCCCTTCTTATGTTTTATCATTTCATCGTAACATAGAAAGCACACCTCTTCGTCGCTCACTTGGTCTCCTTCATCTTGACGTCTAAACAACGCCATGAGGAGAGACCACGGTGCATAGCTTTTTCCCCTATCTAGTTTTCCCTGCACACCATTTAAGTATTCCTCCAAACTTTGATAATTTAACCTGACCTGTTCAGGCACTTTGTTGATACTTATATTGCGGGGGGAATTTTTCACAAGCATTTCTTGCACACACTGATTGCCGCTTTTTCGTTGGAGCGTCTTCCTCAATTTTTCAAACAGATGGATACCGAGATGCTGGCTCTTTTTTTCTACATACTGTACAACTCGGAGGGAGAGCACACACCGCGCAAACGTGTCCAATGCATTTTTTTTTTTCAAAATGTTGACGCGGATTTTGTTACTTCTCTTGCACACGTCTGTAATTTCGCAGGGAATATTCACCACCTGCTGATCTCCTTTTTGCACACGTAGAATTAGGACATCATTTTCGCTCAGGTGGACGTCCCTATAGTTGGGCAGAAGATGAAGGACGACGTGACCATCGCCCTCGAGTTCCACTTTGCTTATATCGTACGAGTCGCCATTGCTGTTCGAACTGGAATAAGAAAACTGTCCAAAGTCGACAAAAATACGCCCAAACAGACCCACTGTATTTACACAAATGAACTTGTTTTTCTCCTTTTTCGCACTGCCCCCTCTGCACAGATTACTCAGTTTTATGTTAAACTGCTCACTTTGATTTGCGGACACAACTACGTCGTAGTGTTGCACCGCATTTTCAACATTTGTGACCACTTCAATTTTGCAGTTGTCACTCAGCTTACGCATGTTCTGCACACAAGCTATGCTTTTTTTTTCCTTGTCTATAAATTTCTTCTCGCAAAAGAAGAGATTATCTACATCATCCACGCTCAAAATGTCATTGTCATATATTCCTATTTCCTTCACTCCGCAAAGGATTAAATTTTTGCATATTTCGCTACTTACTCCGTTTAGGCCGATGACTAATATTTTGCTCTTTCGAATTTTTTTTTCTTCTTCATATCCGTGTGTGTATATTTGTCTGCTATATTTTTTTTCCTTCTGCAGGAGTTCCACGTCATTCGGTGCTTGAGTTTCCTCATGTGGATGGTCTGAATCACAGTGTAGTACTTGATGCTTGGTCGCTTGTCCCTTTGCCCGTCTTGTGCTATAATTCATACGGTTAGCAGTGTCACACAGACTAGGCTTTTTCTTATCTCGCCCTTCTGTGTGTTTGCTTAACTGTGGCCACTTCTTTGGGGCGTCCCCGTGTAGACCATCCCTTAGGCCACCTTGGAAACTTCCCCCCTTGGCATTTTTAAAAGTGCTAGCTACATTTTCAAGTAAGCACTTTTGGGTAGGGGAACAATTCTTCGATTTGTTATCCTCGCTTTTTACTTGTATGTTACAGAGTTTGCTCAAAGGTTGTTTACTCCCTTTCCATTTTGTCCTCCTTACAGCAAAGTGTGCCCTTTGTAGATTCTTTTTGTTGCTGAAAATGTCATAAAGGGGGAATGACAGCCTTCCACTATCAACCTTAACCGTGTTGTAATTTGATATGCGACAATAGGACGGGATTGCTGTGTGTAAGATCACCCAAAGGATAAAAAGGCAGAATTGTTTCGAAACAAAATTCATAGTTTTCACACCTCATGTAGGTTATTAAAATTAAGTGGGTGAGCGAAATAAGCCCCTTATCTTATTCTGGTGGGGGGCGTAAAAAAAAGAAAATGAAATTATACTTTGTGTCCCCGTCCATTTTTACGTCCGCTATTTGTAAGGAGTACAACCTGGGCGAGTTATTCGTCTCCCCAATGGGTTTCCCTATTTTTGCTCTATCTCATGTGAGCGCTTCCACTGGCATTTTTCTGCACGCCAGCGTAGAGTGTATTTTTATCCAATCGATTAGCTTGATGCCCGCTGATTCTTCCTCCCACTTCTTTTGATTTATGCAAAAGTTGTTCTTACGAAGGTGCCACAATCAATATGCAGCAACATCGCGGACACAGCATTATGGGAACAGGTCGTCTTTTCATCTTTACACCTGCGCTGTGAATGGCATAAGTTCGTTCTCCTCCCTTTTGTCATTTATTTTTTATTGTTTTTTTTGGCGCGTCTGCTGGGAGTAACCCCTCTGTGGGTATCTCCTGCTCGTGTATCTGTTCCGGCAGATCAATCCCCTGTATTCTGCGTTGTTATCTTTTTCCGCTTTTTTCAATTATCCCCTCAAACTGTTCAACTCTGTCGTCGCGAGATGCCTTTATTCTTTCTCCCTCCCTTGTTGAAACGCCTCATGCTTGAATGTGCACTCTGACACGAATTCGGCATACGATTCGGTCAGTTACTCGTGTAAAACTTCCCCAATGGAGTTCCCTCACCTCATATTATGCTCCCTCTTCAGCTTTGGGGGATTTTCCTTCTTAAAGCGCATACCCTCATCTATCTACGTTAATCACATGCGCTCTTTTTTCAACTAGGCCAAATAAGTCCACAATTTAGCTTCTTAAAGAAAAAGCCGGCGAATTTTTTTTTTTTTTTTCCCTCGCTTGTTCAGGCAAAAGTGTATTTTTTTTCTTTGTTTTCGCTACCTGTTCAGGTGAATATTTTTTTTTGCATTATGCACATAGGCTCTCCTTTTTTTTTTTTTTTTTTTGGAACCCAACTGTGCATGCACATACATT